GATATGGGAGTTGTATATAGGGAAGAAAAGAAGAAAAACGGGTTATTCGAGAAGCAATATCAAGGGTAAAGTAAACCACTCGCTACTTCCGCTTTACTTCTCGACAATAAAATAAGCAAAAACAACTAGCATGATCGTCACTAGTTTCGATTCTGAGTTGTGTAAGCTAATGTCCGAAGCTAATGATTTGAATGATTTGTTACACCCCATCCAGACATTTAAAAGGCATGTAAACATTCTAACCTAACACAATTATTCTTTGTCCGTGGCACTGCGTCATATCCGGACCATCTATCCGCTTCTTCTGACCAGTTGTAGGAAAAGTGGTATGGGAGCCGCAGGGACGAAACACGGGGGCTAGTGTTTCATGATGAATAACTTTCTCCCGCAGGCTCACAAACTTGCCCCCTCACCTCAGAACTACTTACATGTTATTTATCACCGGATCCTACAGGGTCAGTGGTGATTAAATATACTGAGATGTTGGAAATTCTTAACTCAGATGGGTCAGCTTTCATAAATATAAAGCAGAATCGCTTGAGCCAAAATGTTTAACAGTTGACCTTTTACATACATGCTTGAGTTGTGTCGGCGTCGAAGGAGACTCAGATCAGCGTACACCACTTCGGCTTTCAATATATAGGTAAAAATCCTATCCGCCACGCCTCATCATCAGTCAAATGGTCACTTAGATACTCAAGTCTTTTGAAGGCTTCAAACGTTTCACGACTATAGGTGAGTACAGGTTTAAGTTTTTACCGATTTCATAGACGAATTTTACACTTTAACGGCATAAAGCACATATCATAATTTTTGACACTGAACGTCGGTTGATGAAATGCGTTCCGAGTAACCTTCATATCACTGCACAATAAGAGAATATCTTGTGCGAATACCTGATGTGATACACCACGACCACACACCTACATCTGGATTGTTTTGAGAATATGATCAATAGGAAAGTTAAAAAAAGAAGTTGGGTAGCTCTGCGTAACCTAACTGTTGGTTCAGAACTGTAGTGAGAGGTGCTGTACATCTTGCAATCTGAGCTGTTAAAGTGTAGGGCTTTCATGATTTTACCGAACTTCTCACGACAGATGGTTTAGGAGGACAGCTAATTTAAAGGAATCAAAAGCAGCTCTGATATCAAGAAAGGGAACAGTCGTCAGACTGGAATACGTGTAACGCTCTTCAGGCACCTGGCGGATGTTTCAGAGATTATTAACCGACGTGTAAAATAAACCAATCAGTTTTTTTCGCGTTCGGATGAGATGCGAAGTATGCAGGTGAAATCGATGTTCATCTGCACTTTCTGGAGGTTTATCAGCTAGCTAGCCTTAAATCTAGCTGATATTAAGTCACAACACTTGATGCAGCCAGTTTCCTTACATCCACCCATTTCGGACAATGATTTTGATCACCGCTAAGGCGTGAGGGACCAGAAATGTCCAAATAGGAGCGACAGTCGGGAATGCAATCGCACCACAGGTAGCTGTTCGAAATATGGTTTATTTGAGTCCAGGCCTATGTGGCAGTTCGAGGACGTCAGGCAACACTACGACGATGGTTCTACCGAAAGTCGCTACTCACTGGAAACAGGTGATCTGTGCAAGCTTCTATAAGACGACTTCCATTATTTAACCTGCTACCAAGTAATACAACCTCGCCAAGTTCACTGGTTACTACCCGATCCTAGGCCCGGATAAAAAGGGGAGGTTGTGCATACGGCTAGCAACCCTACCCCGAAAAACCAATCCAATCGCTAAAGAAATTTCAAAGCACAAAGAAATTATAGAAAATAAAAACAAATTTATTCCTTGCTGGAATCGGAGAGACGAAATGACGCCAGTTAGTGAAAGCATTCAGGAAACCGATTGGCCTATGTGTCATCTCTTCTCTAGATGAAAGCGAAAGTAAACATGGGGACATGGAATGTCCGCACTATGTTTGAACCTGGCAAGGCTGTCCAGATTGCAAAGGAGATGAAGAGGTATGACATAGAAGTGCTTGGAATCTGCGAAAGCAGGTGGAATCTCCAAACTATCAACTGGAGAGTCAACAATCTACTCCGATATTGTCACCCAGACGACAACTATGAGCACACTGAGTTGTGGAGTGGCTATCATGACGTGCCGTACACCATCGAAGACTCTCTCTCATGTAGTGAGAACCAATCTCCTCAACGATCAGGATCATGATAGCAAGATGGATTCAACTCAGAAGGAAGGAAAGTTACAATCATACAATGCTACGCTACGCACCTACAAATATTGCTGATCAAGAGAAGAAGGAGGAATCCTACAGACAACTACAATCAGTGTTGGACAATACCACACTGCAGTTGGCGACATCGAAATTCATTCCGATAGGTGGAGTGACATGAATACCAAACTGGGAGCGGACAACACAGGAATAGAACCAATCATGGGTAGAGAAGCACTCGGTGAAATGAACGAGAATGGGGAACTAACTGTTTGCAGACTTCTGTGCATTCGATGACTTGGTGGTTGGAGGTACTGCGAACAAACACAAGGATATTCAAAAGGCATTAGCATGGATTTCACCAAACACCAAGACACACTAGACTAGAAATCCGAGAAAGCTGTAGCACCAGATGGAATTCCTCAAGAATCACTGAAAACAAATGCAGAGACATCATCAGCGGATATGCTCACACCACTATTGCAGACGTTTTATAGTGAGGGAAGGAAGGAAGGAAAGGTACATGCTGACTGATTAGAAGAAGGGCGACATAAGCTAAGTATTTCGAAGAACTAGTGTGAAATCATACTCCACTCGTGTCCAGGCTGGCTTGTTGGCTGGCTGGCTGGCTTGAGGAAGAACAAATCATGTGTGGATCAAATTGCAACGCTACACTACACTACGCTATGCATCATCATAGAACAGAGCATAGAGCGGCAGTCAACTCAACTCAACCCAACCTGAACTTCATGGATTTTGAAAAAGCCTTGGATAGCGTCGACCGAGAAGCAGTTTGGCAGGCAGCGGCTTCAGCACTACGGTTTTAGTGCCACAAACCTTTATCAACCTCATTCAACAGCAGCTGTATGCTATGTATGCTATATGGTGCTACATGCCAGTCGAGTGATTCACAATGGAATGCTCAGTGATGTATTTGAAGTGAAGACAGGAAGGAGTAAGACAAGGCTGCCGTCTACTATCACCGATCATCTTCCTGATTGTGGTCGACTGAAGTAAACTGGAGTGGAGTGGAGTGGATCATGCAGCAAAGTGTGAGGAGCGAGAAGATGGGCATACGCTGGCTGGACCGATGAAGAGACCCGAGAAGAAGATTTGGATTTCGCCACCTATGATGATCTGTGTCTAGTGTCTTGTCACACAAACTCGAAAATCTACTCTACAGGCAGAAACCAACAAGTTGAGGCAGCGAGGAAGACGGGACTTCGAGTGAATGTGGAGAAGGCGTAGGTGATGAAGACACTCAACCAACAACAACAACAACATCAACAATAGGCACGAATCACCAATCACGGTGAATGGGAGGAACGTAAAGGAAGTAGTATCTTTCACCTTCCTTCCTAGGCATCATCGTTTCAATTGCAGGTGGTGGCACAGGCACAGATGAGGACGTCAAAGCCATCCAGGATAGGAAAGATAGCAAGACAGGCCTACCTTGATTAATCTGAAACCAGTGTAGAGATCTTCTGCACTCCACTCCATTCCACTCCACTCCACTCAGCATAGAGCGTGAACAAGATCCGGATTTCCAACACCAACTTCAGTCAAGTGAGTCAGTGCTTCTATGTGATGGATGTGTGAGAGACTTGGCGCGTTACGAAAAGCATTTCCAACAAACTACAGACATTCATCAATAGCTGCCACATACGCTCACTCGATACTGACACTGAAGATCAGATGGATGGCCAGAATAATAAGAATAAGAATGAGTAACGAGGAATTCTGGCTGACTGGCAGACAGGTAGGCAGGCAGGCAACGAACCAACCAACAACCCGTCACCCAACAAATATGCAGAAGAGAGTGGAGATGTAATGGACTGGACTGGATTGGATTGGATTGGACATACACTGAGAAGACCGTTTGAGGACATCACGTGCCAGGTCTGGCCGTTGAGTGGAACCCAAATGGGAAATGACGAGTTGGTCGTCTGAGGTGAGGGTGACATGGAGGAGATGGTGTGAGGAAGAAATGAAAGGTTGTGGGGATTTGTGGAGCGAGGTTGAAAAGACTGTAGAGGAGAGAGTGGAATGGAGACGTGCTTCTGAATCCATATGTTCCACTTGGGAACTTAAGGTACAAATTATATAAATCCAAGTAAGACCCGTTGGCCATGTCAACAGCTGATGTCGGAAGCCATTCTTGACTCCACACAAGCTGATGTTCTGGGTCTTGGAGCCCATGTTCTGTATTAATTTGAAATGAGGGTTTCCCATGTCCTCTTTGTGTGTTTTCGTGTGCACCCGTCCGGTTATAGTATAAGTAATTCGCTTTCCTCTTTCGCATTTGCGGAAACACTTTTTACTCAAGCGTGGTCAGTGGAACTCCTTTTTGTGGGTGATGGTATTCATGGGTGACCTTATGCGGACGTTTCGATAAAATGGGTGGGATTGTCCTGTGCTCAGTCATACCAGGTTAACGTCGAGCAATCTAAACGTCACTCTAGCATTCGTCTAAATGACCAACTAGGTATTTTTCGCTTTGTTTGAAAAGGTGGTTTTATTCTTGAAACAAAGAAATCTGATTGGTTGTCTTAGTAGGTACTGAGTGGCCTTTGAAGTCATTCATTCTTTGCACAATTAAAATACGAATATCTTATCAAGCCAACTTATTGGGATAGACTTATCAGATGACCTTGATTATACAAATCTGTTAATAGCCACATTTTAACTGATTCATTAAAAATTCATTTTGTCTTCCGTATGTAGAGATATGGTTGTAAAGTTACTGAAGTTTTTTTAAGGCATAACATCATCTTTATCATTTTTCTTTTGCTTTATAGGGTTCGCTTGTGGCTGATGGACTAGGTGTAACTTGTTGGTGGGTCAACTGATGCAAATCCTCTGAACTGTTCTACTATAACAACAACTACTACCACTACTAACAAGATTCAACAATACCGTATTTTTAGAAAATGTACATTAAAATAGGAGAACACATTTGTTTTCACCTCTTCTTTATTTGGAAAAAGTCGACAACAAAAACCATTTATATTTCTGTATACTGAACAGACATGAAAATAAAATAAAGAATATTAGCTTCTTTTTACAGCTTATCACAGAAAAATAAAACGCTGAAAGTCAAACTCAGACAGTTTTATCCATTAAAAAAGAAAAGAATTTGTTAAGGGATAGTGGTTTAAAAAGTTTCAGTGCATACATGTGAATATATCATGGTTATCTTTTATTTTTAAAAGATTTTCTGAGTAAATTATGCCAGTAAATGTGGCAAAAAGTGGTTGAATGATGAAGTTCCCACTAGCTGTGTAAATCCATCTCGTACTTTGCATATAGCTGTAGACAGAATATCAAGCATATATATATATATATATATATATATATATATATATATATATATATATATATATATAAATGTATATGTTAGCATGATAATCTGCAACTCGGTAAGTGCTTGTCTAAATAGGCTTTCACCGGATATGTCGCGGCTGGCAAGTGAGCCAATTCCAGATAAGTTAAACGTGGATGCCTCGCTAGTGTGCAAAGACCGTCTTTACTTATTCTTTTACAACCTATGTGAATAAATAGAGAGGTATAGAGAATTGAAATGGTGTTAAACGCTATATGACATAATATATGAAATATTCTTGTCTTTCTGGAAAATTTCCAGGTTACTGGAAATCGTCTGCATTTCCACTCTGTGAGAATCACTATGTGACAGACAACTGATTCCAAACAAGTTATCAAACTAGGAATTTGGGAAAGAAACTGTACAGAGGGTTACCAAGTGTTAGTATCATAGCCAGGAATGATATTAGGATTAGTGATATCAGGATTAACTGATGATAATAACCAAATATTTAAAGTCACCAGAAAAACAAATTTGAATAGACTACCCAATAATTATATTTTACCGAAGAGCGGGCTAGAATCTACTCCAAGTGCAGTCGACACAGAAAGACAAACAAAATGAT